GGGGGTTTTATTTGGTCACTGGGTTTTTGGAAGGTATTTTTGGCTTTTAATAAAGGCAATGGGAAGAGAGGGAAAAGGCTTAAAATTCAATTTTATGACATAATGACCAAAGTTCCTGCACCTCTCTTTAAATAAACTGGTAGAAACTGCTCTTCTCCCCAGAAAAACTCCCCTAAGAGATTTCAGGGAAGCTGAGAGAGACCAGCTGATTCATATTTCTCTTCCTAGAAGTTGCCTGACACGAATCAGTTCTGCCTTGTTTACAAAACAGAATTTCTCAGTAAAGTATTCCAGAAACTAAATGCATGCAAGTCTTAGAGATGGTGACTAATTCCTGCAGTCATTATTTCCTTGAAGATAAGAAGCTTTCACTTTCAAATGGCTGGTTTATTTGCTGAATACTTGTTTGGTTTAGATGCAGTGACGGGTTATTACTTCAGGTAAAACTAAATGCACATGAATAATATGAATTCTTCCAGAGGCCAGTAAACAGGGGGAAAAAAAATCAGAGTAATGTTGCTTTTAATTTGATAGAGCTGGTGTTCATATCCTGCCTTTCTTGAGGTTTGAAATATCAGAGAGCAAAGGAAGCAGTGCTATGTGAAATACTGCAGTGATAAAGGGGAAAAGTCAATGGAGAAACCCAAGACACCCAGAACTGCAGAAAACCAACCAGAATTTATATGGGATGCTGCCACCTTGACAACATGCTGGGGAGAAAATACACAGTGACACAGCTCTTATTTAAAAGCACAAAACGCTGGTGGGCTGCAGCACAGCTGTAAAGGCAGTGAATCAAGCTACAAGCCTGAAAACCTGCACAGATGGARTGCCAAAAATGGATGATTTAATTGTGCTTTCACATTGAGTACTGTGTTTCTTAACTGCCTCCCTCCAGCAGTCACTTCAGAAAGGATTAGCAGCAGCAGTCACTTGTTTACGCTGTATTTTCTTTAACAAAAGGCACGGAAAAMACTCAAAAGTGCCAACCTGTGATGCTCCCTGGACTTCTCACGGGGTTGAGGTCTTCTCTTTCTCCCACAGAGGTTGAGGAGGTGAGGGGCCAAGTGCATTATAAATGCAGCTTAGGCCAAAGGGTGATGTAACAGCAAAATAAAACACCTGGTAAGGATCTCCTTATTTTGTGTTAGAAAGAAGTTTGGTCCATTAATAATTGGGGTTTTTTTGTTTGGTATGGGGTTTCTTACATATATATATATATATATATACATTTATACATACACATGTATATTTATATTTATACATTTATATTCCTCTGTGTGTGTATATATATATATGACTAGATCTGACAGTCCAAAGTCAGAGTTTCCATGTCAGATAAAAATATTAAATTCTTATTATCCCTATAGGCAAAATGCAGGAATATTACATCCTGCTTACAGGTGTAAAGCTGATAAATCTCAGACAGGTGAGTAACTGTTCAAAGCTTTTCCATGGAGAGCTGTAGCCTGGCTGTTGACAGAAGCAGAGGAGGCTCCATGGCTGTGCTCAGGTCCTGTTTGCTTCTGCCTGGATTTGCTTTGTGCTGATTCTCTGGAGTCAATGCATCCACCCAGCTATAAAAGTGCTGTTTGAATTCAAAGCTGAAYTAAGGAACCATCAGCACTCAACTCCCATTTCCAATGGGCACTGACTGAAATAAACTCACCAGAAGCTGTTCAAACTCAAGGCTGTATTAATCTCTATTAATAGAACAGGAGAGAGGAAAATGGGAGTATTAAAAGAAGCACTGATGTGCAGTAGTRGGTGATAACCTGTGCAAATACATAAAAAAATCAGCATTCAATTCTCTTTTATTCCCAACCTCTGCATCCACAATTATTGCTGAACCAGGTGAGGCTTTTCCTCACCACACTCCACATCACCCTGGTCTCCTTTCACACCACCTCACCGGAATGATGGCAGCAGGGACAACAGGTAAGAGTTAAACCCACAGCGCTTTTTCTCCTGAGATCAAAGCACTCCATGCGAAATATCTCAGCACAGAAAGCTGAAGCAGATTCTGGAGAACACTGAAATTGGCAGAAACTTTTTATTAGCCTGGAGATAAAGGAACTACATTGTATTGGGGTTTTTGTTTTTAAATAAAGGAACATTTTTGTTTAGACTTTTTTTTTACAGAACAAGCTTGTTTTCAAAGTTTTGCTAAAAATGTAAGGACTGTTCCAAAGTTCTGGGCTACATTTGATTAGGATTTCTTCCTGCTACAACAGATAAAAGGTCACTGTTCAAATCTGTGCTGCTGAAGGGGATTTTGGTGAAATCTCAGCAACAGGAGTAGGAAGGATATGCTTTGGTTGGAAATGCTGAGGAAGAGAAATACTCTTTTCCCTACCTGCAATTTTTAAAAGCTCCTTTGATTGTCATTGCTCAGGAGAGAAGCACAGGAGCTGCACCATCACCAGAAAAAGCTCCAGTGCAGCATGGGGTAAATTTCTGTTGCCTACAAATATTCTTGGAATGGTTTGAGGGTTTCCAGTCCTGCTATAAAACTGCACCCTGGCTGATCCACCYCCTTCTGCCAGGCACACACACAGCCTTTGGTTCAAGTTCAGAAAATAAACAYGAGCAAGTGACATCAGGTTTACCCACGAGAAATAAATAGTTCAAATACCAGGGAGAGGAGTGTTGTCTCCCTCTCTGCAGCAGTGGTATCCACTCCCTTTTAATGATTTGTGTGTGTCTGTTTTCCAGTGAGACAAAGCAGATTGGAAAACATCTGAGGAAGGATTTAGAGCTTCCAGCAAAGTTTCTTTTCTCTGATCACTTTGCACAGAGCTCTTCAAAGCAATCCACGGGCACACATGGTCTCACAACTGAAGCTCAGTGTGCAGAAAAGGAAACATGAAATGGAATAGGAAAGGAGAACTCRCAGGAGAAAGAACAAAAAGGCCTGAGCCATCTGCCAGATATCACATCTCATGTCACTCCCACGCACCACGATCTGTCATGAGTTCAAATGTTGGAAGAAATTTTGGGTTTCTTCCAGGACAGSAGGCAGGGTGAGGATCACAGGAGTGCCTGCAGCCAGTGGAGATCACTGTCAAGGCCTATCCTGTGCTGAGCAAAAATATCCCGTGGGAATAGGAATTGCTGTGGAAGTCTGCTCCTTTAGAATTTTAACAATATTGGCATRTAGTATCTGCAACCAACCCCTGAAAGCAGTCACCTGTGTCCTCCTCACATTTCCCTCCTCTGAGTAAATGGTTTTGTTTGTGCACATGGACTTGTAACACTTCACATCAAAGCTGCTGGWGAAGGCAGGGTTGGGCAAAAACCTCTGTGGTGGGCAGGAGTGTCACAGGTGACCCTGAACACTCACAGCCTCCAGCATCCTTGGAARTGCATTCATTTGCATTTCCCGTCCCTGGAGGTGTTCAAGGCTGGGTGGGATGGGGCTTTTAGTGGAAGGTGCCCCTGCCCTTGGCAAGGGGTTGGAACTGGATGATCTTTAAACTCCCTTCCAACCCAAACCATTCTGTAATTCCAAGATGTCTGAATCTGCCCCGGGTCAGGTCAGAGCATCAGAGCAATACTTGGGACCAACCCACACTATCCCAGAAGACTTGGCAAAAATAAATGTCTGATGACTCAAAAAGGATCTACCTTTATCTCACATCACCTCCTTAAAAGCACTGCTACCTGGTGAAATGCACAAGTGATCCAAACACAGGTTCCTGAAGGACATTCAAATTTGTTCCAAAATGCTGGAGTTTGCTTTGTATCTGCAAGCTTCATCATTGGATCATTTCTTTATCACAGCTAGTAAAAACCCAACCTTTCCCTCCTGTCCTGCCTGGTTCAGAGTGTGAACACAAGCCTGGTCCTGGTAATATTTTACAAAATATGCTAACTATACTCCTAAATAAAAGCCACACTTTGAGGCTGGAGCTTATTTGCTTCTCCAACTGCTTTCCCTAGAGCCCCTCTTAAATTAAATGAATACAACAAGAATTACAAAGTTTTAAAAGCCACCATCACACCACAGGTGCATCAGACTCCAAGCCACCACTCCTGCCAGCATCAAGCACTTCAGATGGCAGCTTCTCATCTTTTCTCAAGGACCAAGAAAAATTCYCATCACCAGTGCTGCACCACTGTATTGACTGTTTCAGACACAGTCCAGAAGTTTTCACCCCMAAGTCCTTCAGAAGACTGAAATCAACAGGGTTTTTCCATGGCATTTAGGGAAACTACAAGGAAATTTCCCTCCCTTTTGCTGAGCTCTATTACTGACATTCAGCATCTTCACGGGAGAAGAGGAAGATAAAAGCTGTCAGCAAACCAAGCAGCTGGGCCACACATCTGCATTTGAATGCAAAAATTCCACGTGCCCAGACACTCCAGAGAGAACCACTCACAGTGCACAGGTTAATCCTGAATACTTTTAATGGATTGTACAGATTTCCACACCTGGTTTTGTGAAGGACATTATATTCCACATGAACATGATACCATCTGGTAGATGAACAAGTCTTCTGCCCTGTGATGAAGCAACAAGTGGCCCCATAAGGCTCTTACTGATAACTTCTCAAAAAAGATACATCTCTTGGATAATTACAATATGGAAAAGTTCTCCATGAAAAAAAACCAGAAACAAAATTTTGCTCATGGGCCTCTGGAACAACTTCCACAGACACAGTAGGAACATACTGTAAGAGAAGGAGCTTCCAATAACTCAAGGTTGACTGGCACATTTTACTTTTACATGGTAGCATACAAAATTAACTTTTGCACTTCTTCCCATAGAAATATTCCCCAAGTAAGAAGTAATGGATCAGAAGCTAGGCAAAAATCCCAACCATATGAACTSAAGTTAAAGGATAAAAACAGAAAAGGCAAAGTCTCAGATAAAGGACAGATAAAGCAACAATTTTTTCTGCATTCCCTTTCCCATACCCAGGTACACCAAGTTAGTTACATTAACTAACAGACTTATAAAAAAAAGGTTAAAAAAAAAAACCAACCCAGACCGAAAGTAATAAAAACAAAGTTGCATCCACTTTTATCAGTGTGCTTCCACCTGAAGAAGAAAGCCTGAACACAGTAGGCAAAAGGAAAACCCTGYTTCAAGGAAAACACCATCTCCAGTATTCATATAACATGCATCAGAGATTACCAGGACTGGACCACTAATACTGTAATCTGCTAGAAAGTTTAGGTACATTGTAAATGCATTACTTGCTGCAAACAGGATATTGTCCTACCAGGCTACCTGAAAACCAGAATAAAAAATTTAAACCAGTCTTCTTGCATAATTCATTTTACACATAAAGAGTCCACAGTTGGAGCACTTCCCTTCCTCCAGGCAAAGGTCACAAGCTCACAAGAGTCATAGTGATGGCTCTTCAGTCTTCATCTTTTTTTTTGTCTGTCCATTGGAACCAYGCTGCACATCCTGCCTTTTCTTTTTCTGCTGCTGTAACCTCTCCTCCTTCCTCTGTAGGTACTCGTCCATGTTTTCAAAGGAGGCCTTGTAGAGGTTGCTGTAGTAGCTCTCTGCACCAACAAACCCTGCAGTTGGACAAAACAAGAACACAAGTGTAAATCCCTCAGTGGTCTCATCAATTCCTTCCTGCACAGTAATTTTAGACAGTGGCATTCCAGCTCATTTACTGTGGTCCTGTCCACTGTTTCAGCCTTCCAGTACCTTGAGGGACTTCAAGAAAGCTGGAGAAAGATTTTGGCACAGGCATKAAGTGATAGGACAAGAGRGAATGGCTTTAAGATGAAGGAGGGCACRTTTAGATTAAATATTGGGAAGAAATTCTTTACTRTGAGGGTGGTGAGGCTCTGGACTYCCCATCCCTGAAGTGTCCAAGGCCAGGTTGGACRGGGCTTGGAGCAACCTGGGAGAGTGGAAGGGGAGTGGAATGAGATCATCTTTAATGTCCCTTCCAACCCAAACCACCCTGTGATTAAACATCAACATTTACACTGTGTAAGCCTGGTTTTTGTTGGCAAGCAGCTGTTCAGCATTCACCAGCCAGGCAGAGGCTCCATTTTTAGGCTAAAACATTCATAGAGGCAAGCACCTGATGTTGAAGCAAAGAGCAGAGCTCCCCTCACACACTGGACACTTGCAGACTTCAAGGCTCCTGTGTTTGAAATGATTGCTCTCACAAAACCCCACTGGAGTTGTTCCCTGAGACACAAGCACCACAAAGGGAGCTGCCACCTAAGTGTGCTTAGCTGGCTTTTCTCCTAAAGGATCAAATTAAAAGAAAGCCAGAGGAGTAGGCCTCAAATAGTTACGTTCTACAGCACACAGAGATTCCTAAGCATTTGCTTCAATGGCTGTGTTACATTTTCTGTGAATTCAGTACAATATTCCTCAGCATCCTCAATACCATAGGTTTAAACAAGTTTAACTGGGGACTAATTGCTATGCAAAAATCCCCAGTCCAGATTGTTTCTGTAAAGAATATACAGATTACCTGGCTAGGTCCACACTTCTAAAAAACTGTTAGAATGGCACTTGACAAAGCCAGTGCCAGAACTCACCTTCTCCCACTTACCAAAATCAACAATCTTTAAAGGACAAATGAAGAGAAATCCAGTACCTGCTAGGGTTTGGTCCTCAACTAAGTGTGCTCCTCCACAGAAACATCCACAGAGCATCTCCCTGTTTCCTGGTAGACAATGCAGCTTTTCCTTGCTCAGCAAAGCACACGTTTTTACTTTCAAGGGTGTTGCATTTACACAGTAAGAATTTTACTGGCCCTCGGCCCTGGGAGAAATTGGATGCTGCTGGTTTGAACAACCATGCTACTCTATCAGTCTGCACGAAATTTTCCTCTTCTATTTTTCTGGGATGAGTTATAGCACAACATCAAGCTGTTCAATGTATACAAGGGGAAATGGCCTCAAACTGAGAGCAGGTTTAGACTCAGTATTAGGAAGAAATTCTTTTCTATGAGAATGRTGAGGCACTTTGAACAGGTTACTCAGGGAAGCTGTGGCTGCCCCAACCTGGGGAGTGTCCAAAGCCAGGCTGGAAGGGGCTCTGAGCACCCTGGGMGAGTGGAAAGTGTCCCTGCCCACGGCRAGGGGTTGGAAYTGGATTGTCTTTAAACTCTCTTCCAACCCAAAACATTCTAGGATTCTATGATCCTTCCAGATTGACCAATGCATTTTAAATCACACAGAAACCTCAAACAAGTGGGAAAAGTTTATAAAAGGACAATACCCAGGGATTACGACTGGTTTCAAACAATGCAATGATCACTTGTTTCAGAAGATGTAACCACCTTTGAAGCACTAATTATGCAGTGGAATAAGTGCTCATCAAGTGAGCCTCCCCTCACTAATTAACAATAATGAACCCTGTCATATGAGCCGTGCTCCTTTCCCAGATGCAGATGAGCCAGTGACTGCTTTTCACACTCATTTGTTCCACCAGTTAATTATGCCCGGAACCTCTCCCCCTGCCTGTTCTCTTTSCTTCTCCCTGCTCATTTTCACTCAGACCTCATCCTGCTAATTATCTGCCTGGCTGGAACTACCTGCAACATCTACAGGCAAACATCTCCCTTCCACAGGAGCACCTGACTTGTGAAGACTGTGCCGCCTTAATTACARCTTAATGACCAACTTAATGACTGCTACACGCTAAACCACCCAACACCAAATATTAAGGAGACTTTACGCCAGACTGAACATTTCTGCAGCTCTTCCATCTTTACATATGGCCACCATGCACATACTTTAAGACTGGTGGGAACTGTAACACATTTTTTAAGGAAGATTCCCAGTCTCCCAGTGAAGTACAGGAGAGMAATTTCTATTAATTAAGTTTCAATATATAGTTGAGATTTTAGCACATGCCACAACCCTTCTCTACTGCRCAGCCACAACCACTGCTATAATTTCAGCTGGGTTTTTTAAATACTAAAAAAATCCTGGAAAGTGTAGGGTGCTTCTGAACTAGTAAACCAGGCATTATTTTTCTGGCAGAGAGGGGAATGAGGCAGGAAGCAAGAACAAAATGAGCCCTGACAGCAACCAATGTCATCTGTTGTCACATCAAGGGTCAAACCTTCGAGCCACAGCAGGCTCCACATGATCTGCCCTGCCAAGCTGGACCCAAGCAGCCCATCTTTACAGCAGAGCTGCTCCTCCCAAGGCTGTTCCATCCTGACTGYCTCCACTGCACCTGTGATAAAAGTCTCACACCCAGGCAGGAGACAAGACAACAAACACCAGTGTTTGATACCATGGCTGTGAGACACATTCCAGGGGCTGTCTGGAGACAGAGTCCCTGTGATAAGGTGTCTGTGCAGAARTTACAAGGCTGCAATTCAGCTCTAAATACCTACATCGTTCTGTGATAACAGTGACCTGAACACACTTYATTATCTGCACTGACCTCCACACCAGACAGTGATGAAACTGAGAAAACAAAGCTTGAATCACTTCAACAGACAACTAAACTGACCTGAACTCCAATCATGTTTCGAAATCTTAAGCTTTAAATGGTAAAAACTGCATTACCTAAAACTGTAAGCAAAATTTCTCACCTTCAAACGCTGTCCAGTTGTCTTGAATATGTTTTGACATCTTCTGCAATCCTTTGTCATCAGTTACAGCCTGGGAAGAGAAGGAATGCTGCATGTTATTTTGGGATTAACAGACAACTCCATGTTTCACTGCATGCTGAAAACTGCAACAGCTCTCAGCAGAGGGTAGTGAAACAGAGCAAGTGTAAAACCTCCACGATCTCTTCTAGGCTTGTTTTTTCTAAGATTGTTACTGAAACCTGGCCTGAGATCTCAAGTTCAGCTGGGAAAGCTTTGCCATTTGAACAAAAGAAAGTTCATTCCCACTTACTAATCTGTGAGGAAAAGGAGTATCCCAGGGAACACGTTAGGATCAAAGAACATACTTAGAAGTTTCATTTAAAACCACTTCACAAYTAGACCATAATTAGCTGGGGACTTACAAGGATAACAAATGAGTTTCCAGTTATTTAATRGGCAATAAAAGAAAACTTGATAGCACATACCCCAAATTTGATTCCCTGTTCTCAGTGAAAATAAAGTAATCCCCTTAATGCTCCCAGAATGCCTTGTCCTGCAAAGGATCCCTCAGAGGCAGACACAAGGAAAGCTGTGTGGAAAACATTCCTGAGCAAACCCAAAGGGATTTTGTTGGTTTGTGGTTGTTWTTTTTTAATCATCAAGTGTAGCCCACAGAAAGTTCAGGCAATGGTTTAAAGCACTGAGAGCTGACAAGCACTCTGATCCTGSTGTGCCAGATGGCAGCTTTAGAGCTGAGAACACACTGGTGCTCATAACAAGCTCCTGACACCTTTGCATACACAGGTGAGAAGCAGGAGATGTGTATCTAYGGTTTTTACTCCATCTCAAGCCTTTTAGCTTCCAGGGAACAGCAAACTCCACTTCTGTTGTGGCCTCAAGACATCACCAAACACTCGGATTTTCAGCATTAAAAAGTACCTTCCACTGTCCATCACATGCTCTGTACAAAAGAAGAGGAGCCTCCTTGTCTTCCTGCAAAATCCACAGGTCTCCCGTTTCCTCAAATGCAACATCCCAACCTTTGTGTTTCAGAGAGATTTGCTGCTTGTAAACCAGCTGCTGGGCAGTGGCATCGAGCTGAAAGATGTAGACTGTGGGAATACTTTCGAGAGGAAAAGCTTAATTACCATTATTACCAAATCCACCTAAAGCCAGCACTTGTACAGCAAACTACAGACACCCACTCTAATTCCAAACAGAGCCAAAGCAAAGTGCTTGGAATATGCACTTCAAGTGAAGTTTGCTTACATGATCTGAGTCAGAAGCTGTAAATACCCAACATGTCAAACAGCTTTTCAAGTGTTGTGTGAAAGAAAAAGCAGCCAGTGCTGCCTTTTCTTAAAAAAAAAAAGGTAGCAAAGAGAATTTCATAAGGATTACTAAGGAATTACATGAGGAGTGTTACATTGTGGCACACAGGCCTATAGGGCTGCACTTGAAGGAATATACAGCTGAGCACCAGTCAAAATAAAACACCCCTCAGCTCTTGTACATCCCAGCTGAAGGAAAAGCACCACAAACTATGCGAAATTTAACTAACCAGGTAAGCCTTGCACTCCCCTCTGCATTCAGAACAGGCACAGTAAGGACTCAGAGGCTCTGTGTGAGGCAGCACCAAGCCCTGCAGGCTCAGGGACAGCCAGRACASASAGCAGGAAAAGCTGCTCTCATCTTTGCAGGAGCTGTGATGATTTCAGGCATTATTCCATCTATTCTTACCTGTCACACAGAATGGCAACATAACCACCTTGACAGCAGTAGGTCATTCTTGACACAGTGTATTTCTGTTAGGAATAGAAAAAGAAACATCCTTTTAAGCTAAGACCATTTATGGGCAGAAAATTCACATTCCATTTCACTATGAGCTTTTAAAATTCAGCAGATGTTTTAATTTACAGTGAGTTAAGCAACATAATTATCTCCAAACTGCAGTCAAGTTTATTTTTRTACGTGTTTGCTGTTTTATGAAGCTTTCCACACTTCTCCCTTCCACACTGTCCAGAGACCAAATGTAAAGGTTTGAGTGAACTGCTCTTAGCAGACAAACCAACAGATGAAGGAAAACATACCACCTTCAAACATTTTCYCCTGCAATGCTAATGGCAAAAACATTGACATTCAGCCTGCTCAGGCAGAGTATCACACCAGCAGCTCAGATATTACAAACACAAGCTATTAGCTGCTGTTCTGTTCATTAAAAAATGAAGATAGTGATGCATAGCTAATATCCCTAATATCTCTGCTGTGCTGTCTCTGTTTCAACCTGTCTCTGGGTGAAGCCACCCTGCTGCACAGGAATTGTGTTCTGAACGACAAGGAAAGACTGCCTGAGGTAATTTTTCTCATTAAAAAAAAAATCACAACCCAAAACCARCCCAACAACAAAAAAAACCTCACATCACACTCCTAATTTAGAASTTTTATGGTTTTATCTGGGAGAGAAGCAGCACCTTTGCTGCACAAACCATTCTACTTGAAATATGAAGCAAATGATTTCAGGTTCCTTGAGTGGGGAAGAACTTGTGAGGAGCAAAGAAACTGCAAGATGATGTCCTGGGGTGCTTTTTCAAGAGTATCTGTTATATAACATGAAAGGCAAAACTGCRACAGCAAACGGCTGGTTCTCAAATGTATTTTATAAGCAGTGACAACACCAACACTGCTGATGACTAAAACCTTCCAAGTAGAAAAGCAGAGAGTTATTTCCTTTAGGGAAAGGAAAATACATCTTTTTGACACTCTGCTGGCAGAATTCTGATATATTCTCAAATACTCTTTTTTTTTTTTACCTCCACTTCTTCCCTTAACACAACACTGGTCACTAGACAGAACCTCTGGCTCATGAAGTCAGGGTGAATTTGGGAGTAACCACAGGATTTTACCCTTGGAGCTACCAGCTGATGTACAGGCATTGTCAGGATGCTTGTTTCACAGTTTTGCAATCCATGTAGGAAAGCAAAACAAGCTGTACAGCTTTGAAAAATTCAAGTCAGCAAGTTTAACACCAGAAGCTAACTATTTTGTCAACAGCACATGATGCAACTACTAAGAGATAAACCAACTGTGGGAAAGAAAATTAATTCATGGCATAAATAGAGCTGAAAACAATTTTTTTTTTCTCCAGCACTTGAGAAAAATTGTGTGATGCAGTTTCATGGAGGGAAGCAAGAAGAGCAGGCACACACTTTTCACTCATCTCAACCACCTGTCTGGACAGAGGAGCCTTTTATAAAAACCATTATCAAAAYGATTGATATGTTTCAGAGCTCCTGGAACAGACGGGACTTATTTCCCACTACTCTGCAGAAATACTAAGTTTTTAGTCCATWTTTAGCATTGGGACTCAGGACCCCTGTTTCACACAGACATAAGAGATGGTTCCAGATACCAGGTAGGATGGATGAGTAGGCTGAACCAGAAAGGTTCTCTGTAGSTAATGTGGCTAAAAGCAGTTTCTGCAGGATGGAGCCATTTAAACCACAGCTCTCCAGTAAAACTGACAGCTCCTGTTAACTGTAAGCCACCAGTGGATTCYTCAGATACTTAAAGGAACAAGCCCAGATACATACATACATTAAAAAAACTGGAACCTATGCTAATTATTTCTAATAACAAAGMTCTGCCTCTCTGCCTGTTGCCTGCAGGGGAGAAATATGCAGGAAAAGTGCCCACCTACACAGCTAAGTGCTTTGTTAGAGAGACAAAGGGTTCTGTGAACTTGAATGACGCAGCAGCTCTCCCCCAACCTCACTGGAGGAGGGAAGAGGCTGTTTTGATTTGAACCAGGTTTTAGTCACAGCTGGAAAGAGACAGGAAAATGAATCTTTTTTTCCAAGTTCTTTCCATGTGGGGGGAAGCTAAAAAATCAGCAAAATGAATTTAAGACCCACAGTAGGATCTTGGTCAAGGACAAGGCTATGAAATCAGTTAAGGAAGAGCTACAAGAACATTCTGTGATAAACAGATGTTCACTTGATACTCTCTGAACTTAAGTGAGTGCTTATATGACACTGTTATCAGCCTGCCAACACCTTAAAATTAACTTTTGATGTCATCTGTGAGAAGAGGTGACCCTATAAAAAATGAATGTACTGGTGCATTGGGGTAGAGTTGTGCAATTCATGTTCTGGACTTTAAACAGACTTCTGCTGTCAAGAGGATCAGATGAGGTGAAAGCTCTGAAGCAGGAAAATATTTATTTAGCACTATGGAATTARAGATTTACTCCCATTCTAGTGGGAAAATGAACTGAGGATCTGCAAGCCATCAGCTGAAATCAATGCTACACTGYTCAAAACACTCCTACATTCCCCAAACAGACACATATGCATCATCTGCCAAGCAAAATAGGCCCACATTTTTGTGCTCACATGACCCAGCATTGCTGATGATTCCATTCTCATTGTGCTTCAAGCTGCGTTTCAAGCTCCAGTGCACCCACACTGGTTATCAATGGTAAAAAAATTATATATAACAATACAAAAAAAGAGAAAAAAACCATTTATATCCTCATGTGATCATTGGCTGCTGAGTGTTGCAGACAGTGTGCTTGTTACAAGCTGCAAAGTACTGACTCAAGAGATTGTTTCCTTGAATTCAGACCACAGATGTCACTCCAGGCTGTGGAAATGATCTGTGACATACCTGGATGCACAGCATGACTAAACACCAGACGTCACCTCTGGCATTTCTAGCACTATGATGCCAGCAGAACAAGTCTCCTTTCCCCTGTAAAATACCTGTGAGAGTGGGCAATAACCAGGATTTCACACATTCAAGGAATAGGCCACCTTGTGGCTTCCAATACCATCACACGTGGCAGTGGATGGAAGAACTGCAAAGCACTGCAGGAATAAGGTTTATTATTTAATTGCTGTGTTCTATTCATTAACCCACAGTTTGCTGGCTTTCCCTGTCTTTGCTTACTCACACTGAGGTGAAAAAGTTAAATGGAGACTCCTCAAACAAAGGGCATCTCAAATTTCCCCTGAGGCTACATCAGCATGAAGAGTATCCTATGGAAGGGATTTTATCAGGTGTATTAGGAGGCAAGGCAAGTATTGCTAAACTACATTCAAAAACATTCTAAGAGAGTTGGAGATGTTTTCTTCGATCAGTTCCTACCTGCATCAGCAGGTTTATTGGMATTTGTTGTTTATCTAATGCTACAGTCAAGGTTCATTATATAGTGYAGCATGATTTTTTATTAACTGTTTGTAATCAGTGGATTTAGGGTTCAGTGTCAGAGCAAGCACTGTTAATTTACACACAAGCCATTTTACTTATGCTAAGCCAGTCTAAGCAACAAGTAGCATTTATAACACTGATAACAGAATTCCCCACTTCAGTTAGTTGCTTAGTAGTCCTCAGTCAACTTATAAATCTAGAAGGGAAAATATTTTAAAATAAATCCATTATTCACTCCAAAAGAAATGCTCAAATCGTGCTGCACCCAGAACATCAGTGGATCCCAGCTAGATGGGCTTGTCACCTCATTTGGTACCTCCTGTTTTTCAATTGTCAGAAAACCCAAGGACACCTTCTTTAAGGATTCCAAGAACTAACATCAAGCTGAAATGAGGCAGAGACCTTGTGAATGTGTGTGAGAAGTGCCTGGCTCAGGAGTGCTTTCGAGAAACCCTTCAAGTCCAGGAGCAACTTAAATTGTCCATACAGACCCTACCCCAAATTCCTGCTAACACCAACTCCAGGCCAAACCCAGGATTTCCAATACCCAGACTGAAAAAGTGGGCTCCCAGCTGTGGGGAGATCATGCACAACACATTTCCACTACCAAACCACAACACAGGGGAGGGTAGGCAGAGCTTTTCAATTCAATTTCTGCCTGGATATGGATTCCACAGTGGATTTGCCCCAAGAGCAATGCATGGCTTACCCGTCACCTAACTGGGAAGCAGCTGTGGGCTGCAGGGAAATAAGTGTTTTTAGAGATTTATATGCAAAATCACCCGCAGCAGGATGGGGGGTGAGTTGAACTCAAATAACCCAGCAGATGAGTGGGTGGTTTAATCCATGCACACAGCAGGGACAAGGACAATCACTGCTAATTGGTCTTATGACATATTAAATGACAAGAAAAAAACAAAATCAGGGATCAAGAACTACCAGTACAACTGCTCATATCAGGTCAACATCTAAAATCACAGCAGCACACCAATCCTGTGTGTGTGAGACCACTGATGTACAGGCTGCAAGCTCAGGAGAGCTCCCAGGTGTTCAGTTTTCATGAAGGACTTGTACATTTTAGTTTTGGACACTGCCCAGCTGCAATAGAACTTAAAATAACAAGTCCAGTGTTTTGACTGCACAGAGCAGTACTGCAGGTCAATCATTAAAAATATTACAAAGCTGCTTTCTGCTCAGAAAAACTGCAACTTGAAATTCTAAACATTTTAAAAAATGGGTGAATGTTTCAATCTTCCCAGTGTCACAAGATGTTTTTTGGCCTAGAAAGACTAAAACACCTGGGGTTTTGGAAAAATAAATTCAAGTGAAGGCTTTGTCCACTGTGCAGAATTTATATTTCGGAAGAATTACACACAGCTTCCTTTGGTCACTGCTTGGCACATTTTAGAAATTCACACAAAACACAGGAATGGATTTCAGGAACTTTCTTCCCTTCCTGAAATCCTAAAATCCCAGACTACTGTAACAGTTTTTAGGTTTCACTCAAGTTCTAAACCCACCAACAGAAGGGAAGCAGTTCTAACAAAATGCGACCAAAACATTTGGGAGTCCCAAGAATCAGGAGCACAGCAAAAGCACTGACACACATGGACATACCTGGTCTGGTTTGCTTGCCTCAGACCCACAGATGGTATTYAGCTGAGAGCAGTGCACTTCTTCTCCACTTTTATACTCCCAAAGTCTCAGAGTGGAGTCCTGGACAGATGGAAAGGGACACAAGTCTATTACAACCAGCACTCAGGCAAAGAGAGACTACTCCTGGCCTTCAGCTAAACCCTGTTTCCCTGAAGAGCTCCCCACAGAAGCTGCTAAATAGTCACTTAGTTAAGACCTCAAATTGCAGATAAAGCATTTTAATTAAGGTAATTTCCCCCTGCATTCTAAATTATTCAATCATGATAATTTTAATTCTCCTTTTGAAGTGGAAATTGGGTAGCTGGAGGAGGGCATTTCAAGCCTGTCTCCAGTAGCACAGTCATGCATGTGCTCAGCATTTTAATGGCAATTCTTTCAGGTTGCCCTTCTCTGCCCCCTGCTCTTGTTATCATCCAAATTCTCATTTGATTTAGTAACCTCCYGAAGAGAAGCTAAACACCTCTCTGGAAAAAACAAAGCCATGCAAGAGCATTTGCAAAGAATGAAACACAGCCATGTACAGCACTAGAGCTGCTTAAATAATTAGAGGGACAAGAGCCTTAGGGAAGCAAGAGCAGCAGCTGAAATCAAATGCCAGGAGTTACTGTGATCATCACAGGAAATATTATTTGTTTGCTGTGCAGTTTTGGTAGTCTGGGAGACAAAGAATATTGTTTTCCTTCTTTTAGGCCAACTCCATCTCTGTGCAGGTCTGGCATGGCAGGAGGATGCCATCAGTTTAGGAAGGAAAGAAGGGAATATTCATTTCTTCAGTTCTCATCCAAACAAACAATGTCTGTGCTCCGGAGCAAGAGTTAATGATAATTTCATCATCTCCAAGATGGCTTTTATTGTAAGCACAGTAAAAGGTTCTTATGTGATGCAGCAACAGAATGGCTGAACAYTGAACAGAACTGAGAAAAAGGGGGAAGAAGGGAGAGGAAAGCTGTGCTGCAAACCATGACAGATTATTCCAAGTATCCCAAGGAATTTGGCCAAAACACTAATCTAAATAACAATAAAAAAAACACCAACCATACAAAAAGCAAGAAATTGCAATACATACCCCAGAAGCTGACAACAGCAGATCAGGACAGTTGGGTATTACAAGTATTTTGCTTACAAACCTAAAGGAAAAGCAGTCAAAAGTTGAACTCTCTTGCATGACACGTAGGTCTTAAGCACATAGTAAGAAAAAACRCCAGGTTTTAAGAGAACCTTACAATGAACAGATTTTCCACATCAAGATAATTAGGATGAAYTAAAAAAAAAAGTCATCAGTACTTAGTAAATATGCACTACACAAACTACTGACTTTCTACTTAATAAAGAACTACATTTCCTCATTTGCACTCGGGGAATTCTACTGACTACCTCCCAGCTGACAACATTTTCATTTAGATCCAAAAATGCCAGTGGAGACAGATTTACTCAGGTAGCACGCTCCCCTTTTCAGTTCATGATGCACATTAAAAACATGAATCAACAGATGATTTTAAAACACAATAGTGATGGCTCAGCTTCCAGAGTGCCACATCTCTCCAGCCACAGTTAGAGATCATCCAAAAGCATCTTTACAGAATTTCAAKGTGGCAGTTTACCAGAGCCTACATTCAGCCAGAAGTTCTGTTTTCCAGAAGCTGCTGATACTGCTTTGTCTGTACTGAGTAATGAGGACCTGAACTTCTAGGAATTATTATTACCTCAGACCTCACCAATTTAAAACCTCTGAGCAGAACACGACCTGAGTGAGACAGTCTTGCTTTTGAAAACAGGCATAATTTTGAGGCCAGAGCAAAAAAATAAAAGGAAGAGATTTGGTCACTGTAATTCAGACTTCCAGGACAAAGCAAGCACAACATATCCAGAAACTTTATGTGCCGCTGAGAGAAGAAAATTCAGGATTGTGACACAATGTACTTTCAKCTGATTTATGTAATCCTTTCCTATTCATTTCCAATTTAAATATTGAATTCTTGAATATATTTCAGTCTATTTATATTGCTATTCACTCTGCAATCACTAATGAACACCTTGGACACTTCCAGGGATGGGACATMCAYAAYTTCCCTRRRCAAYSTGTTCCAGTGTCTCACCACCCTTACAGTAAAAAGGTTTTTCCTAATATCTAATCTAAACCTACTGTCAGTTCAAAGCCATTCCCCYTTGTCCTGTCACTCCATGCTCTTGTAAACAGTCTTTCTCCATCTTTCTTGGAGGCTCCCTTCCTTGAATATATTTTATATCACAGTCTCCAGCACACTACAGTCTGGTGTCCAGGCAGGAATGCTCTATGCAACCTGTTGACACAGCAAATTTTTTTTATTACCACAGAACCTCCAAGTCTGAGTTCTGCACTGAGATGCCATCAATTTAATTAGCTTATGTTCAACCTCAAAAAGACTTCCAAAGACTTCCCTTCCTAAGACTAAGGTAAGCTCCATCCCAAGCTAATGATTTCTGGATGTGGAGAGATGATCCTGCTCCTCTACTCTGCTCTGGTTGAGGTCCCAGAGTGCTGTGTCCAGTGCTGAAGTCCTGGGGACAAGAAGGACACAGACCTATTGCAGCAGGTCCAGAGGCCACAAAAACAGCACATGCAGAGAGCAGGAGCACCTCTGCTGGGTGGAAAGGCTGAGAGAACTGGGGATTGTTCAGCCTCAAGAAGGCTCTGACAAGACTTYACTGCAGCCTTCCAGTTCATAAGGGGTTGTTATAAAAAAGATGGAGATAGATATTTTTAGGAGGACTGTTGCAGTAGGACWAGGGATAATGGTTTTAAAATAAGTGTAGGCTCAGACTASGTATAAGGAAGGAATTTTTTTACAATGAGGGTGGTGAAATACAGATTGCCCAGAGAYGTGTTGAATGCTCCATGCCCAGAAACATTCAAGGCCAGGTAGAATGGGGCTCTAAGCAACCTGATCTTATTGAAGATGTTCCTGCTCAGGGCAGGAAGGTTGGATTGGATGACTTTTAAAGGTTTCTTTCCTCCCACACCATTCCATGATTCCATCACAGACTGAGATGTTGTTTAATGTGATTTGAAGAGATGATTTCACCCACTGAGAGTGGACAAAGGTGAATGTGCAGGGAAGGGCTGTACAAAATGCCTCTGGCACACAAGGTACTCACTCTCTGTGGCCCATGCAGTAGGATACAATACTGTAGGGAGCCTTTGTCAAGCTGACTCTGATCTTCTCATCTCTGTCTGCAGTTAGGATGTACCGGTCATCAGGACTCAGGGCCTGTTGGGAGAGAGTCAGCTTTAGTGTCCAGCAGTTCAATGTTTGAAATWCTTCTTAACTAAGAAAAAGAGATCAGCAGTATCTCCTCACCAAAAAAGGCAGGTACAAACACTAAGCCACTCTTTTGCACCAACAATGGAAGCACACATCTTTGTGACTGTAACTTTCTCACTCACTAAGACAAGCAACACTGACTTCCAGGTTCAGTGAAAGCCACTGACCCCYAACAGCAGAGGTGGAAGTCCCTGTGCATCTTAAAAAGAAACTTATCACAATGAAGAGCTCAGCTGACATGGCAGACAGGGTGAACTCCCATAGACAGTCACCAAGTCTTCTGTGACTGTAACAAAGACTTTTTCAACACTCATAAGCTTGTTTCCTTACCAAACCCCACCAACACAAACTCAGTAGGAAGAAATCTGGACCACATTTCATTTACACAATAAAATGCCCCAACAAACCATGGGACAAGAGAAACAACGAAAGACCAAAGCACAAGCAGGAATGCAGGTTTGTAAACACAAAGAAGCAGACACTTACCACATCCAATAACAGAGACACATGACCCAGCTCAAGTTTTCCATTTGCTTGAGGCTCTGTTATTGAGTAAGAATAGACATCACCAGACTTRTCTGCAACAAAAATCTTATCCTCTGCAGCTGTGATAACCAGGGATGTGCATCTTCTGTTCACGAACCTGAAAGACAAATGGCACAGCTTGAACAGCTCTGGATGGCAGCTTCAGCAAGTGAGGAAATTAAACAGACCAAGAGACTGGGCAAAAAGTTCTCAGATGSAACATTACTAAAATGACAGCCATGAGAGCAACATTATGGGGCTGAAACAGCACTTTTGAGCCTAGTAAATGAGTGAATTATGTAATAGCAAACACCTGGACTGGGGAGAGGACCAGGAGAACATTAAAAGCTGCATGACTGCATTTTGCTTTGGTRCTTTCTCAACTGAGCACCTCACCCAGGCAGCATGCCAGGACTCTAATGAAGGCTGGAAGACTTCCTTGCACYCTACATAACAAAAATATGAGTTAAACACATAGAAAAGACAAGGTAGGATTTGTCCTGTTAAGAGTTCTTTGCAGCAACACTTCTAAAAGCTGTGTAGAAACCACTTTTGCAGTTGCTACTCTGTAGTGTAAAGGGAAACCCTTCCTGCTYAGCCTCAAGAACTCTTTCTCCTCATATCCCAAATCACAGAGCTACATCCTCTGGGTTCCTTGTCCAGACAAAGCTCTGAATTTGATCTCTGAGTTTCCCTTGTCATCTGCCAGTATCTCAAGAGTTCCAGCTGCCAGTGCAGCAGGTACCAGCTTTCTAACAGTTACCCAGATATATGTAAGGACAATATATGMCAGAAAACACATCCTGTGTGTTAGCACAGGACTGGGGGCACCAAAGATYACAGGGAATGGATATTTACATTCACCTATTCTGAAATTCAGGGACCATCTGGAGGCAAGAGAACAATACCTGGGGTAAGAAGACAGAAATTTTCACTTTTTAGTGGCTGTTTAAAGGAATACCACAACAATAGGATAATAGGCAACAGTTCCAAAAAAGGTTACTTTGCYAACCAGAAGTCTTGCTCTAATTCAYTGTACTACCAGTGATCTTGAGCACAAAGATCCAGACGTTCTCCTTTGACAGGAGCTGACTACAAGATCACTGTGTGATCATGACCTTCATACACATTGCCACAAAACACCAACACAAGTCACACAGCTCAACTTTGGCATTGTTATCCATGCAAGAGAGCCTTTTGCCTATATTCCCAGTTTCCCAATGTGAGGTCATGACGTTCCCAAAAAATCCAGCTGTGGTCCTAGTTAAACTTTCAGCAGAAATTACAACACCCAACAATTATCCAATGTCATGTAACAGGCAAGACACACAAGGCAGGGCAGGAGGGAAGGCAGGACACAGAATTAACAGAATTTGGCAYTTCTGGTTTAGTCATAGAATATCCTAAGTYGGAAGGGACCCACAAGGATCACTGATTCCAACCCCTGGCCCTGCACAGGACACCCCAACAATCCCACCCTGTCCCTGAGAGYRTTGTCCAAAGGCTTCTTGAGCTCTGACAGCCTTGGAGCTGTGACCACTCCCTGGGGAGCCTGTTCAGTGCCCAACCCACCCTCTGGGTGAAGAATGTTTCCCTAATAYCCAACCTAAATCGCCCTAGCACAGCTTCATGCCATGACCACTTCCTCACTACTGTTTAACCCCAAGGGTCCATCCTGTATCCTACACACACAGCCAAGCTGCAGAGACTTAATTTTATTTTGCAGCCAAGGTCTCACATTTCTCAGAGATCACCAGAAGCAGAGATGTCACAGGCTGAGGTACTTTCTCAGGAAGCCCTTCATGGTCCTGTTTTTTCTACAGAGAATTGCCACAAGCAGCAGCAGAAAACTTGTAACTGGAGGACCTCTGGTGGACAGCTAAAGGCTGTTTCCTCAAGAGGAATGTACTGCAGAAAAGCAACTGCAGCTGCATCTATAAAGATGTACTTTTTAAAAAGTTCACAAACTCCCCAAAACATCTCATCCTCCAAATTGGAAGAAACACAGAATGCRCTCACTGAACTACTCAGCTTCACTCTAACAGGCCCAACCTCAGTGTTCACCAGGAGTGGGYAAAATTTTAGTTCTTACAGATAAAAACACTGGTTTTGGAGTAAGGATTATCCTTCCTTAGCCAATGACTTAAACATCTGCACTCCCATATCTGACTGGGGGAAGATCACACATCAATTCTTGACAAATACCTCTGAATTCCCAAAAATRTTACATTTGTCTGAGCAAGGGAATTAAAAAAAATAAAAGAAGACAAGCAATAACAAATATCAACATCCTAAATACTCCCATTTTAGAACTCTAAATCAATCAGCCATAACTTCATAAGAACATGAAACACCCTGCTTCCTTACCTGACACTAACACATTCCCAGGAAGGTTTYGTGCGGAACAGAATCAGACGTTTGTTGTCATCTGTCAAGGCAAAATAATCTCCTGATGGGGAGAAGGCAAAAGCCAGGATGTCATCACTTCCTTTATCTGYTCCTTTTCCATCCTGCCTAATAGAGAGAAGGGGAACAACAGTTCACAACCTGAGAGCTACTGAAACCTTTGAGGAGGTTGTTCCCAAACCACCAGGAGCATGAGGAACAAAATGAAACTTTTAACATTGTTATTTCTGCTTAAAATGTTGAGGCAATATGAACATCAATGCAAGGAAATAAGTCAAGATAAAGGAAACTGATATAAGATCTAAGCCTGTATCAAYACCTGCTTAGAAAACAAAAGTCTGTGCGAGCAAACCATGATATAAATTTAGGGGGAAACAGTAACATATTTCCTGTCTRGCTACAAGTAAAAGAGTACTGAATCTAAACTAAAAAAAAATACATTTTTTGTGTGTATTTTGAACTCTCATGACTTAGAAAACAGATCTGGAGAAGAACTTATGCAACCAATTTSTGGGATTTTTCAGCCTTAGATATCTAATAAAAAATGCAGGACTTTTCCATAAATGTCTTGACTGACAAGAGAGAGAATTGTTAATTTTACCACTGGTGTTTCTCTAAAAAAAGAGAAAAAGGTGCACAGTGGAATGAAACTCTGGATGAAACAGAAACAAAAAAYAGATCCATATATATCCATCAGGGTTAGCAAAACCAACCCTTCACCTACTCACAGAGTTATCTTGTGGCTTTCTTTTACTGCTTTCACTGCCACACAAGCTCAGGAGATGCACCCTCCAGGAAAAGAGCAGATTTTCTCACCCTTTCTCTCCTAAGGTCTGCTTCTCTGCGCTGCTGCAATTGTACATGAAGAGACTGTCATCACTGCAAGTGAAAAAGAAGCCTAAAATTACTGGGACTAGAACAACCACAAGCTTAACTACAAAGAATGGTGCCTCTTTTGTAAGATTCTCATATTTCAGTTATTTGTACAAATACCCCCATCTCGAGGAACCACCTCTGCACAAGTAAGTTCCCAGAGTGCTGCAGATGTGGCAGAAGTTTAGACTTTTGGACTGTATGCACATGYCAAAAAGGAAATCCTCCTCTGCTGGTGAAGTAACTCTGTATTTTGCATACACTTTACTTCTGTCAGACTCGACAATCTGACAGTAGCATTTACCCAGTCACAGAATCACAGGATGGCTCAGGYTGGAAAGCACCACAGTGGGGTCATCTGGTCCCACCTCCTGGCTCAAGCAGGGCTGTCCCAGAGCAGATGGCCATGGATTGTGCCCAGATGRCTCTGGAATATCTCCAGTGATGGACACACCACACCCTCTCTGGACAATCTGTTCCAGTGCTCAGTCACTGCACAGTGAAGTTCTTTCTCACATTCAGGTTCAGGTGGAACTCCCTGGTCATCAGTTTATGCCCATTCCTCTTGTCCCATTGCTGGGTACCACCAAGCAGAGCCTGGTCCATGCTCTGACACCTCTTTTCAGATACTTCACAGGTTCTCAGAGTCATTTGGGTTGGAAAGGATCTCTGGAGATCATCCAGTCCAACCCCCCCTTGCCTAGGCAGGGTCACCTGGAGCAGGTGACACAGGAAYGTGTCCAGGTGGGTTTGGAATGTCTCCAAAGAGGGAGACTCCACAGCCTTCCTTGGCAGCTAYTCCAGAGCTCTGCCACACTACACATAAAGTTCTTCCCTGTGTTGAGGCAAAACTTCTTGTGCTTCATTTTATGGTCACTGCTCCTTGTCCTGATGCCGGGCACCACTGAAATGAGTCTGGCACCGTTCTCTTGGCCCCTGCCTTACAGACAGCTTTAAGCACCTTACTTATAGACATAAAATAGACTGTTATTATGTGTGTATATAGATATGTATACACATATATAAAATAACAAAATACATAGTTATAGATATTCTATGTATTCATGATTTTATATGTATTGTACATATATATGCTAGATAGATGCTATATATATACACGTACATATTATATAGATGTTATATATATAAGCTAGATACATGCTATATATATACACGTACATATTATACAGATGTTATATATATATGTGCACTTTATATATATGCGCATATGTTATCAATGTATTATGTACATATACACGCATACGTATATAATCTCTATGTTATATATAATCGTTCACACAGCAGTGACCTGCAACTGGGGGAGCACAACCGTGACAGAAAACCGCCAAGGATAAAAAGTTTAAAAGAGATGTTTCTGTAGCAGGAAACTCAGACAAGAAGCACGAACCGCAGCAGGGGCAGGGGCTCCTGCACCTCCCTGCTCCCCCACCACCTCCCGGCCCTGCCGGCGGGGCCTCACACGGACCCTGCGAGCCCCCTCAGGGGGCACCGGGCGGCCTCCKCCGCTCCGACCCGCCAGGCCCCACCGCGCCCCGCGCTGCCCCGGCCCCCCACGCCCCGCACTGACCCGTTGTGCCTGGGCCGCGCCACCAGCAGCCGCTCCCCGCCGGTGACCGCCGCCATCGCCCCGTGCAGCAGCAGCGCCGGACGGGCCCCGGGACTGCGCCCGCCGCCATCGCCGCCCGCCATGCGCCCGCGCCGCCACGTGCGCTATGGCGTCACCGCGCCCCGCGATGACGTCACCCCSCTCGGCCCCGCCCACCGGCAGGCACGCGGGGGCGCCGTGAGGGCTCGGCAAGATGGCGGCGGCCGCGGCGCTGAGGGGCGGCGGGCGGGCCGTGACCCGCGAGGTAAAGGGGCTCCTCGGGACGCTTTCCTGCCCCCCAACCCCATTCAGCTGTCGGCATTTCCTCTCGCTTTGTTAACTCTTGTTACGTTCTGCCTTGCAGGTGTTGCAGTTGGAGGCGCGGGGGCTCTGCACGAAGCCGGGGGGCACCGGGACGGCGCCGCCAAAGAGTAAGAGGGTGGTTTGGTTGTGAGAGGTATCGGGGTGTCAATAAGAGAAATGGGTGAAGAGAGCTTGGGAAGGGTCACGCCTCGGAAGAGGCGCTGTGAAASCTGGGAAAAACAAGGACTGAAAGGTCATCGCCCTGTAACCGAGGGTTTTTGATAAAATGTACCATGTAACAATAAAAGTAAAAGTAAACATTTGACTGTGTGGAATATATTTATAGGATATATATATATATATATGTATGCATATAGTTTTATATTTATGAGCTTGTCACTTCTTTCCTGTTTGCCTTCACCTTAACATTCAAGGGGATGGGGCAGTATCAAACGGTTCAACGTCTAWAAGGTGAAGGGTTGGTTTCAAACTGAAACTGAGTGGCTTCAAACTGAAAGAAAGTAGGGTTAGATTAGATATCAAGAAAAATTTCTTTACTGTGAGGGTGTGAGGCCCTGGCATAGRTTGCCCAGAAAAGCTGCGGATGYATCATCTCTGKAAGTGTTTTTACTGAGGTGCAAAATGTAGTTTTTAACTTTAGGTGTTTGTCCWTGTGCTTTGAAACGTTTGTGTTGTCAGGGTTAGAAAATAAAAAGACTTAGAGAAAGACTTCCAAGATCCAAATATCAGCTCCAGGCAGCAGTGTAAGAAGCTGCCATGTCCCTGCTGTGTTAAATTGGTTATAATGTTTATTGATCTATGGGTTTGCAAGCAAGGCAATGTCTGAACCTTGGTTTGGGTGCTGCCCTGCATCCCCCATTCAGGAGTATTTGAACCCCTTTTGTCCTTGACYAAAGTCAAAACAGGAATACAAATTTCAAAGACTAATAATCTTGTTGTTATAAATGGAGGGTCAGTGGTTCAGTGAGGTTTCCTATCCCAAATTAGAGATCCAGGTGCTGAAACAGGAAAGCTTCATTGAGACATSATAGGAATGATCAGGCTTGTTGACTGCTGGAAAAGATCACTGGAAGAGTTACTGAATGCAGACTTCTACCACCTTCTTAAATGCCAAAGCAAAYAAAAGCCTGGCCGTTCCATTAAGAAAGCCTTCATTGCACAGATTGAACAGCAAATTGCTTTTTATTATAGTTTTTTTTGCATTAAGTGTATTTGAGTTGTACTTTGGTATCCGTTCCTGGATTCACTGTCCTACAGCTCTGAATTTGTGTAAGGAGACCTCTTAGACCACCTCTCCCAGCCAGCTGCTTCCCCTGCAAATATTCCAGGTTAATTAACAYGTATAGGATGCAGCTGCCTTTGCCAGATTCTGGCTGGAACAGGATGTGCAAATTTATCTTGCTTTGATAAAATGATTGTGTTTACATACAGAGTTAATGATGGGAAGTAGACCTGTAATTTCTGCCTGTCACCTCTGTGAGTGTAAACAGGCTTTAAACACATTCTGGGAATGATGCTGATGTTCCCAGCATCAGGAAGAGCACATCTGGGAATGATAGTCCTGTGACTGGTTTGGATATGTTGTTCTTTGGGCAAAGAGATGCAGGCACAGATGAGCTGGTGCTAAGTTTGAAATAGCATAATTGAACTGTATCMGTTGTATTGGATGTTTCCACTTTTAACATAAAGTCTATCTTTTTCCTGTATCCAAACTTAACTGTTTAAAGTCTTTCCTCAGTAACTAATGCTCAAGTTGAATTTTATCTKCCTTCTTGGTTTCTTAGAATCTATTTMCGTTAATACTTCTTCAGGTTTTGCYCAGCTTTCCCTTGTCTGTCCTTCCTTTGGCCATTCTTGTGTYAGTTTGACCTCCTCTGTGCTTCTTTGAAGAACTCTTCCATCCTGAATAACACTTCCTCACKTTAGTCTCTCCAGGCTGCTGTTTGGCTGGGTCAGTGGAGTCAGACCTCTTCCAAAGGCRGCTGCCCATCCTCCTGCCTCCCCTTGCCCTTCTTTCCCATTCTGCACCTTCCATCTGGCAGAGAGAAGTATGTGCTTGAAATTACTCAAAATATTACCTGCAAACTTGATACCCTTTTTCATTATTTTTTGTTATGATAAAAACTCTGCTTTTCTTTCTTAAATACTTCGCTTTTATTTTCATGTGCTTGTCTCTTCTGTGATGTTTTTGTTTGGACATTGCTAAAGACTTCCTTCTCTTCAGAACTAATGCTAGTAACTCCTTAAATCATACAAGGTATTACTGTAAAATACCAGTGAGGGGGAAACTGCATTTAGTCTATAGTCTTATAAARTAGATCTGGATTTCCAAACTCTGCAGATAAATCTGCATAATGGACTRGAAATCTGTTGAATTTTGCTGCTGGTTGGAAGTGATGCAGCTCCTAACGGAGTTGGCTTTGCTGTAGCCAATTTCAGCTATGGTGAATCTTGTTAATGTGCTCCCAGTCCCCCTTGACCTGCTTTCTGTAACCAGAACGGTATTTGCTGTTGCTCAGCCTCTTGAGGATGAAAATAAGCATCTAAAGGGTATTATGTATTCTCAGAAAGGACCTGAAAATTGCTGCCTTCTCTTTCAACAGTTGGTTCCTTGTCTGGAGAATTTAGCTTAATGCAGGTATCCACTGCAGGGAAAAGAAGCAGAGGACAGAAACAAACATGAAGCATCAGGAGATCTTGTAAGACTTCTTTAGCGAAGAGGTCTCAAACCAGAAATAGGAAGTGAAGACTGAAGTAGATGAGGTCTTGGGGAATTAGTGTTGAACTCTGGGGGCACAGCTTGTTGGCAGGTGACACGGGCAATGGATGGCCTCAGATATCTWTTATTCCACTGTTTTGCCTTTTGAGAGTCATCCCTCCCTTTTGCTTCCAGGATAACTCTTGCAAGCAGCTGTGTCTCTTTACTGTGTCTGCTTTGCTGGCTTGTTCACAGACAAGTGTTGTCTCTGCAGCAGCACATTTGAAAAGCTTGGCTAACAAGCCATCCTAATGCTCACTTGAGATAGGGAAGTGTCTGCAAACCATTTCCATTGATGCAGAGTTGAAGCACAGGGAAAGCCAGCTCTTGGAGGAGTCTGGCAAAGTGAGGAGCATGAAGGTTTATSTCTTGAGTTTTGGCATCGCAGCAGCAAAAACTGTTACGTGCTACTAGAACACCAGTTTCTTTAACATAAAGAGTCTTAGAACTTCCTGCTTTGCAATGCCTGTATTTAATATAATAATTCCTTTAAATTTATTTTTGTACCAGATTACCTCTGAAAGTTAAAACTGTGTGACTATGATCAGTAACAGTGATGTCCAGTACAATGATTATAATCCTCTTTATGCCGTTTCCTAGATGTAGTGGCTCCACAGGGAAGCACCAAGCTGCTTGCCAGGAAGGYACCAGTTGAATTTCGTAAAATGTTGTCTTCTAGCTCTCTCCTGCTGTCTGCAGACAAAGGTGAGAGCATACCTAGTACCAGCCTCAAGGAAGCTTCAAAACCTGCTGATGACACAAGGATGTCCATGTCAAGAAAAACTGAGGTTGCATTTCCTCAGCGAGGAGTTGTTTCCTCCCATGAGGAGGAAAACGTCATTATGCCTGCAACAGGAGGAGGCTTGAGGAAAGGGTTATTTGAGGAGCAGACTTCATCTTCATCCAGCTCAGAGTCAGATTCTAGCTCAGATTCTGAGGATGAAAATGTTGGTGATTCAGAAGTTGCCATTAAAACTAAAGTTGAGTTTCCCAGACGAGAACCCATCTCTTCTGAGAACATAGCAGTAAAGGCATCAATGCTGGCAAAAGAGAAATTGTCCCAGAAATCCTTCAAAGAATATGGAATTAAGAAGCTGCCACGCAAACCAGAGATTGATGTGTCTTCGGTAAAGCAGGTCAAATTATCTAAAACATCAGTCAGCCAGGAAACATCAAAAGCTAAAGCAAGAGACCCCAAAGTAAAATCCACTCCAAAAGACCAGAAGTTGGTTTTAGAACCACGCGTGGTGAGAAGTCTAGACCTGACCGATATCACTCGCAAATCTGATGATGTGGAGGAGAAGTCCATTGGAACCCAAGTAGCAGCTATTCAGCTGAAAGCCTCAGCAGTGACTCAGGAAGACAAAAAGCAAAAACTGGTATCCAGAGGAGAGAAGGAAAAGATGAAGGAGGCACAGGAGTTGGAAGCAAAAGAAGCAACTGCTCCTAAAGTGGAAGAGACTTCTGGAAGCACAGTGTTGGTGATGGGCACCACAGCAAAGGAGGAGACCACRCAGGAAGCAGGACTCCAGGCTGGAGAAAGCAGCACAATAGAGGGTACAGCTTTAAATTGTTTGAACTGTATTGATTCATCAGGGCTAGCGTGTAACTTTTTTTAAAGGGTTTCCACATCTTCTCTGATCTTTGTACTGAAGCTGACAGAGTGGCAGTGACTTTCTGGAAGATAAATTGTTCATTGCTACTTGTTGTAAGTTGTCAGTAATACTCCGTCTCCAGCTATGCTGTGAAAGAAATCGGTTTCGTTTCTCTGTATAGTTTCATAAACTAGTTACTTATAAAATGGAAACAAGATTGTTTCCACTGTGAGCAAAATYATGGGTTTTGTATGACAACACTTGTTTTCATTCTTTTCTCTGAAGGATTTGGTATCTGCCATTCTCGTGAGCCAGATTTGATGCCATCTCATTGTTACTTAAACCCTGCTGTCTTTTGGTTTTGTTTTGATGAGGGTTGTTTTCAGTCTGTCGGTGTTGTTGATTCTGAGATTGTAACGTTGCACGCAACTCATGTGAAAGT